AGCTTGATTTGATCTTCGCACTTTGCATTTGATTTACCTTTCAATATCTTATTTGGATTGATGGTCTTTACTCATGCGAGCATTTTCTTCACCTTACCCCCAGTGTAGAGAGTGATCCTTAGTTAGGTTAAATTAGAAAAAATATAATTCAGGCTCAAATTGGGACACAAGGGATATATATTTTCTCCTTTTGTAAAGGGATAATGAAAGAAAATCGTTCATAATTTCGTACACTGAACTTTTTTCAGAAGTGGTATCCCTAGGGGATAGATTTTTAGGATTAATTTTATTCATATGAAAACAATGTAATTAATCCATGATAGAACTATTTTGAAATAATTTCCTATTTTTCCGCTTCCTGCTTCTAGCATGTCTCAATTGTTTAGGCTCATTTTTAGGAAGTTGATTCGAGATGCCCTACATTGTTTCTTATTATAGGAAGGTTCACGTTCAAATGAACATCGTGTACTCAATGCCTTTAGGTTTTAGTGGTAGAGAAATGTCAATTTTGCGTCTAGAAAGATGATGGTGTGACTTTATTAGCTCAACAAAAGGTAAGGGTATGATCTTTTATGTCTCAAAAAAGATAAAGGTAATATTTCAAAGTCTCGAAGAGATGTAATGTTAAAATTTAGTCTTTTGGTAGTTACCATGAATTATTTAGGGTAAAGAATCGGGAGGTTTTATTTTTGGTTTTGGATGGTATAAGAAAAGTCTAATCTTGCCATATGTAAAAAATTTATAATTCTTAATAACTAAAAGAATATGTAATTCATTCGATATTCGAAGAACTACAAGATTACAACTTGTTCAATTATTTAACCCTAGAAGGTAGCATAAAGTTCAATCAAAACAATGCTCTTAAAGCAATTACAAAAAGCTTCCTGGTAGATGCAAAGATATATTCTTGATTAGCATTAGAATACCCCATCATTATTTGAATATCCATGCCCCCCCCCGATTCAATCAAATTATGGACCTTTAGCTTCAATGTCCCATAATTCTAAATGGAACGTCCTGAGCTTCCTATGTGATAGCTATATATGGCATCAACATCATAACCTTCAGGATATGAAGCCTCTTTTGGCATTTGGGAAGTTTTTTTAGGTGAAATAGTTAGTTGTGGAGCATGTATCATCACACGTTTAAAGGTTTCCATGGAAGAAAATACATGTTTTTTGCCTTTTTCTTAATTGAGCCCAGCCAATTTCCAAATCTCGTTGCATTCTCTGTAAATAATTTTGCAATTCTTCCTTCAATTTTTTGAAATTTGCTTCCATTACGTCATGTGATTAAGGTCACTTCCATTGAATTTCTCCATGAATTAATCCTCATGTTTTCATGGATAATGCATGTGAAAATGTTTAAATACACGCAGTGCATAATGTAAATATATAAATGCATATGCAAAAAATGTGGATCCCAACGATGAATATCATCGAATAATTTTCACCAGAGATAAAAATCTTCACATTATAAGATAGTCCAGTTTACAGACATGCTTTCGCTTGGACGTTGAGTCTGAAATGGGTCGATGTTTCATCTCGTAGACTTGTCCTTGAAAATTATATCCCTCAAGTGCTATAACCTAACTCAATTAATGTCCCTACAGTGCTAGAATCATACGTCACTCATTGGATATTAGCGATGGAATGATCGTAGATAAGACTCTACTACTGGATTACTTTTCAGATCAATGGATCATCTTTATAGTCTTGAATGTTGCATGGTCTTCGAGCAAGTATATTTCTTGTACTCTCTGAACTTCTTTTAGCCATAGGTGCATATATGTGTACGCAACTGCTTGATTGAAATCTTTTATCTCTCTATATGAAAATTTTCACTTAAATATCCTCTTGTAGATCAACATTTTTGCATTATGTCATGTTGATGAAATGCAATGCAAAAAAAATGTGAAAATGACACACAAAAAAAGAAACGAGTTAGTACAAGTAAGATAATCGATATAATTAAAAAAAATATTTAAATATAACACCTACCCAATCATGGTATCTACCCGAGCATGCTTTCATTAAATAACAAACCTACCCAAACATGTTTTCTACCCAAAATGATTTATTTTCGCGAAATTGATCCTAACCGCATGGTATCTAATTCACAACTTTTAAATTAAATTATTATATGAATTTTAAAGCAAAGGTAAAGGTTTAGAGTCGTTCCTCTTTCGTGTACACCTATTTTGGCACCTACTAACGGATAGAGGTTCTGCATGGCTCTACCTATGGTGACAGTTCTATGGTTCACTACATGCATGGTTTAGGCTCTAACGGTAAACGGTACTCGAATTGTCCTTGATGTCAGTACCCCCTTGAGCTACCAAACCCTCAACCCTGACCCATTACAGGCTCATACGAATTGAGTTCAATTCGAGAGGATACATTCCCTTGTGTCCATGCAGAGAAACAATTTATCTCACATAGATATAAGGTATATAAACCCCAAAGGTTACTTGCTAAAACCCATGCGGAGAAACAAATTATCTAACGTAGCTTAAGCTTTCACCTCAACTTAAAAGGGACAAAGCTCGTAAGTGAGCTTATGGTATGTAAATACATGTGTAGTGTGTGAGGAGAAACTCACAAACCTTTAAAAACGACAAAAGACAACACTTTTACAAGTTCAAAAAAAATATGTTCAAATCTAAAAGCAATAAAATCAAAAAGCAATTAGTTAAAAATAAAATAATGCATGATATGTTGAAACTCAAATAACAAAAGGATCATAAATTAAATGCAATTTAAGTTTGTAATTCTCAAGAATAAAAACAACGTATAATCGTTTATGGCTTGACTCTCAAAAGTCCCCAGCGGAGTCGCCAAGCTGTCATAACGTCTCTCTCGGGGATTCGTTAGACTTAAAAATTAATTTGGGCAAAGACGATGAAATTTAGGTTTGAAACAATTTGATTTTGGAGTCGCCATCAACCTTTGAATTAGGTAGGTTGAATACCTAAAATATCATTTTAATGAGTTCAGAAAAATCATTAAAAGACGAAACATGGTCTACGTTTTGCCAAAAATTCATTTTTAAGAGTTCGGGAGTCGATTACGTGTGGGGAAGGGTTAGCAAACCCACAACGCCCAGGTTTGGTATCTAAACGATTATATTATGGCTAAATGTTGGGAAATTACAAACTCAAAATATATTTAAATTACGATCCTTCTATTCATTCGGAATTTATTTAAAAAGATATCAATTCTCTCAAACTAAAACAACATTGCCTTTCCAAATAATAATATGACGACAAATAATAAATAAAATGGACAGAAAATTAAAGAGCAAAAATATGCTTTTATGGAGTAAAACTATTTATTTGACCCAAAAAATATATTATTTTTTAAGAGAAACTACATCGTTTTGTACGGATAATCCTTGAAAATGCACTTCCATTATAGTTAGGATACTTTTTCATGGATTCCCCTCACAAAGGATGCTTCTTTAATTTTATGGATAATATAATTTAAAAGAGTATAGTATCATAAAAATTAGAGATGCTTGAATAAAAGAATTCTTTTCGTACGAATAATCCTTGGAAATGCACTTCCTTTATAGTTATGAGACTTTTCTACGGATTCCCTTCACAAAAAGATATCGCCTATATATATTTTTATATCAAAGAAAAAATAAAATAAACTAAAAAATAGAACAAGATAGAATAAAATAAAATAAAACAAATAATAAGGTAAAAATAAAGCAAAAAAAACTATCGAATACAAAAAAAAATGACCCTTTGTGCGAAAAATCTTCGAAACACATTCCCTTGTAGTTGGGAGATGTCTTCATAGATCTCCCTCACAACGAAATTTATTATTCTTGTATGTATAAAAAAGAAATACGGCGATTTATAATAAATAAAGTTTAAGTAATAATAATATAAATATAATATGAAAGTACGTAGGTGAAAGGGATAACAATAACAAAGGTAATCAGTTTGATTTTGAGTATAAAATGCGAGTCAAGCATCGGTAGTCTACTAATATGAACAAGGGACTAACATGAAAACTTTATAAACTAACAGACAGATTAAAACACCAACTAAATATGATAAATAAATAAGGCTAAAACATAAACAATGAAGAATATAGCCATTGGAAATAAATAAACCACCATGATATTAATGACTAAAATAAAATGAGATGCAACTTAAGATGCTTTAATGAAACTACAAAAATTAAGGGCTGGAAATTAAAAGGACCGAAATAAAAGATTAAAAAATAAAGGGTAGGGAAATAAAGTACTGAAAATTAAAGTGCTGGAATAATAAATAAATATATAGAAAACATAAATATTAAATTGCATAAATTTAAAAGTTAGGGGGGTTATTTTTAATCTTTTAACCAGGACCATAAATAATGTGGATCGTACCTCAGAGCGGGTCACCGCAAGGTCGTACGATATTTCGAACATAAAATAAATAAATAAATAAGTAAAGAAATAAATAAAAATTAGCAGTTAGGGGTTAGCAGTTAGAAATGATAGTTGTTAGGAAAGTTAGCGGTTAGTGTTTAGCATAGTCTAGACCATAATAATGTGGATCGTTCCCCGGATCGAGTCACCACAAGGTCGAATCGAATATGAGAAATAATAAATAAATAAATAAAAACAATGGTTAGAATGAAAGAAAATAAAAGTCAATGGTTAATGTGTGATAAAATAAAAGTTAGTTGTTAATATGCAATTAAATAACATAGAAGAATAGTGACCAAATTAAAATAAAACAAAACAGGGGGACTAAAATCAAAGTAAATTAGTTACCACAATGTAAAAGAAAGGCAGAAGTGGAGGACTTACGGTGATTAGCCCCTAAAATGACCAAGAGTGATAACATTTTAAGATTGGGGTACTTAACGCGTGATTAACTCAATTATTAAAAAAAATCCCCCAAAACTTAACAGAACAACACGTGAAATCCCAGCGTAATATATACAGTCCTTGGGGCTTTTAAGATACAATGAGAAGGCAATGTCTGAAAATAGAGCGGAAAGGTTAACTTGTTTCAATCAAACTCCTAGGCAATTCAACTATATGTGTGTGTGTGTACATATTTAGAGTCTAAACGGATCAGCGTTTGCCGTTTAGGGTCTAAATGTTTCGATCCCCGGTTGTTCTCTGAGCCCCACATTTCTTTAACTGATCTTATCCAATCTAATCCGCTTCTTCTTCTTTAATCTTCATTCTTCAATTTCCCTCAAACAATTCAATAACAACTTGAAAACGGAAAAAGTTAGAAAACGGAAAGAGAGGCCCCTTTGGTCGTATCAGTGACCAAAGGAAGGCCAAAATCAATCTCTTTCCAGAAATAAAGTTTTAACTTTTTTATAAAATGATCCAACCCCATCCGTAAATATGACGCTTTCAAGGTATTTATTTCATTCCTGAAAGAAAAACCCTTTACCCTTTGTTCTTCATACATTTCTGCGAAGAATCCCAAGCGAAACAGTTGAAAAGAAAAGGGTTCGGAGGAAAGCTATTAACTTGTCTCGGGAATTTTAGTCTTTTCCTTTCTGGAATTGGGTTTTTTTTTCTTTGGGGATTTTAGATGCGATCTTACGGTCATCTTCCACCTTGGATCTCTGCCCTTTTTGGCTGCGTGGGGTCAGTTTTCTTATTCTCATCTTTTTCCTGGTATTATCATGTTAACCCTTTGATTCTTAGCCTTCTTTAGTAATAAGAATAGAGTTTTGATTCTTTTTTATATGTAGCTTTAAGTTTGCTATTGTTACTATTGAATTTTTTGTTTATTTCTTGGTGCTTACTTGTTGTACTAAAGCTATAAGATATGTCCAGAGGGAAGGGCTGAGAGCATCTGAGACTCTTCGATTTTGGGGCATTCTTTGCTTTGAGTTCTGGGTTTCTGTTTTTATGATGCAAGGGTCTTTGTTTTGATATCTTGATTATAGGTGTTATTAATTACCTTAGGTCTGGGAAGAAACCCTGTTCATTTATTGTTTTTTCTTGGAGCTTATTTACATGCTCTTACACTCTGATTGGTGGAGCTGTAATGGAGTTTGGATTGGGGACTGAAAGGGCTTATAAATTTTTTGCAATTAAGCTATAGGTAAAAGCGCTCATAAATTTACCTTCCTTGCATTTATTGTTTATTTTGTTGATAAGAACGAATGCCTAGTTGCAATGTTTCAAATGCCACAACTCTTTGATTATGTTCAAAATCACACGTTCGAAGTTGAAGTTTAATTTCATTTTCTTATTTCCAATGTATAGTTGTGAAGTTGATGGCTTTGCTTTCTATATGCTAGATCCAGGATTTAGTTGTTATAGTTGATAGACCGGTTATATGTGGTTAATCCTGGTTTGTAACAGAGCAGAGGTTGTTTTGGATGCTTCGAGCTATCTAAGGGTGTATTGATTCAAGACTGGAAAGGGAGGAGCTTTTCTGAAGATTTCTGGAGTAGCACATGTGAAATCGAACATGGAGCACTCAGGTCCCAAAGAAGCATTCCGTCAATCAGCGTTCCGAGTCATTCCCTTGACCTTTCTGGAAGCACTAGCCATCCTTCTGAGTTTGTAAATCATGGCATGTTCGGATGTGTTAACTTTATGCATGCTACTAAATAAAGCCAAATAGCATCCCGTTCTTTCATATAATATCATGTCCTGTTGTAAGGTTTTAATACTCTTGAAAACAGTATTGGTGGTAAAGCTTCTTGACGAGAATTTGTTTTTGCAGGCCTTCATCTCTGGAACCAAACAAGGCAACAATGGCTTGGAAAGAAAAAGTGTGAGAAGAGTGTACAACGTCGAAAATCCACGTTAAGGTTAGAAAATTTCCAGTGTTTCCTAATTTAAAAGTTGCACCTTAACCCTCTTAAGTAGAAGATAACAATCATTAAGCCAAGTTTAACTTGTTTCAACCATTTTCATCTTTTCGTTTAAGACCTTATCGAGTTCATTGTTTACGTGTTGAAGTTGCAGTTGCAATTGGAATGTACTCTATCATAGTTTACGTGGGAATAATAAGCCATTCTCTCATCCAGTTCCCCTGTCTGTAAGTTTACACTGCCGACCGAATGGTTTTGGATTAAAAACCAGGATTCATCCTTGTATTGTTTCTCCTATTCAAAAATGTTTCATCCCTGTATATTTACTCCAATTCTTGTTTGGGTTCACCGGCAGGAATTGGTGGATTTCCTAGACGAGGTTTGGGAGCAAGAGGGCTTGTATGACTGAGCAGGATGATGCTAAATTAAAGCTAGAAAACACGGGAAAATGTCGAGATTGTCGATTGCACCATCCTCTTCTCCGTTGGACCCTTCTTCTGTATATCAATGTATTGTAGTTTACAAATCCTTTGGATTGAAAATGCAAGTATGCAACACTAATTATCCAAAATGAAAAGAAATGCAATATTTCAGTTTTTTTTTCTTGGTGATTACAAATAGCCATTTGTGAATGCATACATGTAGGCCACATAAAGGATTTGGTTGAATACAAATTCCAGAACTTAAACAGTATTATGATCCAACCCATCGAATTTTTCATTTTTTTGAGCTACTTTTTGGAAGCTATGGGAAATTTGATTAATGACTAATGAAATGGACCACCATGTCATGAATGATGTTATGTGGTTCACATTATAATACCTGCTTTAATGGTTGCAACTAATACTAAGATTAGTATTAGTAAAAGTGGTAATAATTGAGAGTTGGAATGAGTCAGCATTTAGAAGCTTCATCAGATTTGACCAGAAATGAAAGACGGCATCTTTCTATGAGATAATACCAAAAATAACATTTTTTTCCCTATTAAATTTATCAAAATGACATCATTTTAATAAAGCTAAATTACTTTTAAAAAATAAATTTATATTTTCTTAATGCGACGGATTTTTCGAACGATTTCTCCTACACTAATATTATCACATATATCATCTATATTTATATATCTCAATTTGATGAGTTAAATGATAACAAGAATCTGTATCTTGCTAGAGATTCTTGCATATTGTTATATTATGTTTGTTAAAGAAAATGTAAGTATATATACATATATATCTGCACGTTTTTTAAGTGGAAGCTTTGGAAAACATCAAAATGAAAGAAAATCATATCCATATTGGTCAAAAAGAGTATATTTATGTAATGAGAATGGTTAATGTTATTAATAATTTGAGTTAAATCAAAAAAGAATTGCTCAGCTCCTTCAATGGAAGATAAGGAATTTCAGAAAAGTTATAAGGAAAGTATTAATATTGGAATCTCAAGATTTAAACAATTAAAATTATGGATATTATTCCTTTCTATGTGTGGCATTTCCTTTCTTCTTCTCATGGTACATAGGTCATAGTACATGCGACCGGATCCATTCGTCCAAGATACTTATCAAATACCACTATTAAACTATACCACTAAAATAAGCGTCTCATATTTTTTTTATTACATTTTTAAGTGTTTACCGTTAAAATATTCCGTTAAGTAATATATGTCACGTTTATATTTTTTTATCTTTTTAAAAATAAAATATTATTTAAGTTTTTTTTGAAAAATTTGAATGTGAAGTGTCATTTATTGAATTTTTAATTGTATGTACCTAAAAGTGTAATAAAGAAAACATTAAACATCTATTTTAACGAATAATTCTTTATACATCAAAAATCAATTTGATAAATTCATCTTTACTTTTATTTGTCACTCATCACTTCTTTGCTTAAGTCAAACTCTATTGTAAGCAGTTTGCCCCCTGTGGGTTAGACATTCGTAGCATTAATTTTCTTCCACTTTATTATTTGGTTTGCGACACGTATACTTGCGTACATGCTGTATCAATTTCGAAGCATCAGTGTTGTGTCTTTGAAGATGAAGATGTTGAGGGTTATGGAGACCTCTCTAGGAGTTTAGAAGGGAAGAAAGCAAAAATGTTGACTTGCTATTATTACCGTCGAAACTTCTAGTCGTGGTGGATTGGGCAAGCTTTTTATTCGAGGAAACCATTCCACACGTGGTGTGACTAGCATTGGACTAAGGGCCATTTCCCGTGGATGCCCTTCTCTAAGGGTTCTTTCATTGTGGAACTTGTCTTCTATTGGAGATGAAGGTCTGTGAGATTGCTGATGGATATCACCAGCTAGAGAAGCTTGACCTTTGCAACTGTTCTGCAATTACCAATTAGTCTTTGCTCGCCCTTGCTAAGGGTTGTCCTTCTTTGATGGATCTGACCATTGAAGGTTGTGAAAACATTGAAATAAAGGTCTCCAAGTTGTAGCTCGCAGCTATCCAAATCTAAAGTCTATTTCAATAAAAAAACTGCTCCTTGTTGGAGATCAGGGAATTGCAAGCATGTTGTCTTCAGCCTCATGTACCCTCACAAAAGTAAAGCTCCAGGCATTGAACGCTATCGATGTCTTCCTTGCTGTTATTGGACACTATGGCAAAGCAGTGACTGATCTTTCACTCACTTGCCTTCAGAATGTGAGTGAAAAGGGCTTTTGGGTAATTGGTAATGTTCATGGGTTACAGAAGTTGAAATATTTCGCGGTTATGTCCTGTCATGGTCTAACAGATTTGGGACTGAGGCATTAGCTAAGGGTTGCCTGAATTTGAAACAGTTATGCCTCCAAAAATGTGCTTTCTTATCTGATAATGGGTTTGTCTTTCTCCAAAACAGCGAGTTCACTAGAGGGTTTTCAACTAGAGGAGTGCCACAAGATAACCCAATTTGGGCATTTTGGTTTTCTCCTTAACTGTGGTGCAAAGTTGAAGACGTTATCTCTCGTTAACTGCTTGGGTATCAAGGACCTAAACCTGGGATTGCCTCTTGTATCCTCTTGCAAATCCCTTCGATCACTTTTGGTCCGTAGCTGCTCTGGTTTTGGTGATTCCAACTTGGTTGCATTAGGGAAGTTGAGCCTTCAACTGCAGCATGTGGAGTTGAGTGTGTCGCAGCCGTTCGGGTGGGTCCGAAATTTGGTTTCGACTTAAATATGTCGGGCTCGGGAGTCAGTTACAATCAAGGAAGGATTAACACCCTTAAATTGCCCTTTCGGTACCATTTTAATTTCTTGGTTGTCTTAATCGCGAAAAGTAGAAGTTTAAATAATAATTTAAATACAATATGAATTATTTTTTCTTTGATAATCATTTGAAATTTAATTGAATCCCCTAAAAAATAAAATTAGAGTTCAGAAAGAAAATAAAATAAATAAATAAATAAATAAAAATAATAAAATAAACATATACAAAATTAGAAATTAAAAGTATAGTCTTGATTACAAGAACTGAAACAAAACAAATAAAAGTTAGTAAAAACAAAATAAAAACAGGAAAAAAATAAAAAAATAAAGTCCAAAGAGGAACGAAATGAAACGAACTTATCCTGTAAGTAATGAATGAAAACATATTAGAGACTAAAATAATGAAAATCAGAACTAAATATCAAAACTAGAATTACAAGGAAATAAAGTAAAGGATGTGTCAAAACCAGAAGACCTTGAGAGGATTTTACCCATAATATTTGAAGGACCACAGGGAGAGTTTACCCCAAAGTCTAACTTCACGTGGGATTTGTTTAATTTTCATGTAACATTTTCAATTCATTTACATTCTCTCTAAAACTCAGATTGCTCTGCCTTCTCCCTTCTACGCAGTCAGGCGTTTACCATCGATGATCTTTGTCGGTTGGTCGTCAGTTGTTGTCAATGGTGACAGTTAGAGCCCAAATTCCATGACGAAGCCCATCTCGATCTCAGGAGCTCGAATCCGAGACTCGTTTCTCCAGAAAAGTCCTGGGGGTTGTAAAACGGGCAAAAACAATTTGGCTTTCCGCTCTCTAATCCACCGTTGTCCACCTTTAAATCGTTCAGATTTCAAAATATGTTGCTCATGATGATCTCTTCTCCGCTCTCACCATTTGGATTCGTGAACGGAGCCTCAAATTGCCGGAGAAGGACTCCATCGTTGAAAGGTAAAGTCCATCGTTCCCATTTTTGCTTGTATCGATCTTTCTCACCTCGGTTTTTAATCACGTTCTTTGTCTCTTTTTGTCCGCTGTTTGTGAGTACTATAAATGGTGCGGATATGTGTGCAAGTTTACACAATCGAACAAGTAATAAAGTGATGAGTGAGTATCGTTCTCTATAGGGATTGGGGGAAATCAAATAAGTTTGTCACAGCACTTTACTCTGCCACCTAAGTAAAGTTAGAGATGGTATATATACAAATGAGAATGCTGTGGCAAAATGGATGGAGATGTCGTGACAAATTAAATTGTGTTTAGTGCAAACAAATGGAAATGCAAAGGCAATATAAAATGTAAATATTGGATTTGATTATCAGGACTTTAGATTTCCTCACACGACAAGCTACTATGGGAATGAGTGATAGGAGTCACTAAGGAAAATCTAAGTCCACTTCTCAGAATGATCTTACTTCTATGCCTAATCTGCTCGACAGAGTTTACTAAAGGTTCCCTATGCTATCTCTAGTCAAGGGACTCGACAGATTGAAGATGCCTTGGCAAAATCGATTGGCGTTATCTACTGCAGGGATCCTATTGGTCCAGATAACAGGATATGTCTTGGCAATACCTTTTTGCAACATCATTAACATCTAACCTATCGCTCATGCATAACTCTTTTTTGTCGAGTGAAATCCTAGCCTTATCTCTAAGGTGGATTAGACCTAGTTACTATCTAGAACCCCTTGCTTATGTGGTTCATCCCTAGTTTCTATCGAATACTAAGGATATGCTACTTAGGCATTCTTTCGAACACTAAGTAATCACCTAAGGAATGACTACTCTCATAGCTTCTACAACCTTAAGGCATTAAAATTCATAAGCAAAACAAATTATAACATAGAAAAACAATCATTCATTAAAGCAAAACTTAAATATCCAAAATAAACTTCCACCAAATAGGATTAGTTCATGGTAGGTTTCGAAATAAGCAAGCACAAAGCAAGTTAATCCGTTCCTTACAACCCAAATAATAAATAACGAAAGCAAAGAGCAAAGGGAATGAGGAAAAGCCTTCAACGTGCACTGCCGAAGCTTCCATCGGCCACCACGAACAGTCCTAGTGATCTAGCTCTTCTCGTACGCCTAGTTCGCCACTCCCTATAGCCTGTCAACGGAGGAATGCCACGGTAAAAACGATTGATGGAAAAAGAGAGAACTTTTTCTCCAAATTTTTAGGCTCTTGGCGGCTGTCTAAAAATCTCAAAGTCTTCTAAAAAAGTCAGGCTTCATCTTTTATTTATAGGGGAGAATGAACCTAGGGTTTTGTGTTAAAATTACACTAGCACCCTAAAGTTCATTCCTTTTATGTGAGAGTCGGTGCAAAGATGGTAACTGGCCCCTCCATTATTACTGATTACAGAAAGCACTTTTTATGTCATGACAGCTGACTCTTACTAAAAATATTCTT